TATGAAATATTTAACACGGATTTGCGTGCGTGCATATGGAATTTTAGAGCGAACCCTTTAAAAACTATTGTGGCTACCAAACCGCTAATTAATTGAATAGGGATTTTATTCGGCAAATGCTTTAATGCTGTAGTTTTTCAGGGCCTTTTGAATTTTTAATGGAACAGAACCTTCCTTTTTCGGCTGTTTCAAAAACATACTCGTCATTCGAAACCGTGTGTAACAGCCAGTGCCAACGTTGTTCGCGATAGGTAATATTATTTTTATTTTTGCGGCTTTGATTACTGAGCGCGAGTTGCATTTTGTATACATCAATGCATTCAAGTTAAATCACTGGATTTTCTATTGCTTCCTCAGCAAGTTCTTTATTCTTCAAGGAGCTGGAGCTAATAACATCAAATCTAATTCTCATCGGTAGCATCAACCGCCAAAATAACGTTTTGCCCTTTTGTCGAGTTTCTTGTACAAACGATGTTCGTGTCCACAATTTTAAAAAGAAACAATTGTTTGCCTTCTGGGAAATGTATCTTGTGAGGGTCTATGACGTTTCTTAAAATGTGCGAATGTCCTGAAAGGAATGGTTAACACTGTTGTGTTTTATGCAACCTACTTTGGCGGAATAAGAATCTGCAACCATGTCGATTAAAATTTTCTAGGGAAATGAGAAAACCCAAGTCGGTGTTTAATGTTTAATAATAAAGGTTGCATGCTTGGCTCGCCAAGTTTAGCCAATGTGGCAATTTTCTCAAGCGCGCCAAAAATAATTCCCATAGCAACTATGAGAATAGGAGCAGTTTGTTGATACCAGAATCTTAGAGATCAAATTCGCTGCTAGAAAAATTCATCCCATATTTAGCGACAGACAATTTATGAAAGTTTCAATATTTTTTGTCGTAAATATCAGCAAGCTTCTAGTCGTTCGATTTGTCACTGTCAGCAGGCTTAGCTTTGTCGCTAACATATTACTCCATTCAAACCCCCTATTAAAGCATTTATTATATTTTTAGACAGAAAACTTCTATTTCCTCGAGGTGATTTCTGAATGGAAGTTCATTCGTCGTTAGGTCTCTACACAAGAACTTTATGAAATTTTCTAAAATCTGAACATCGATCAACGACGAATGACCTTCCATTCAGAAATCATTCCGAGGAACCACAGAATTTTTAATAAATTTAAGTATTGTACATACTTTCCTGACTGTGTTTCAATTCCAAATCAAAATCAATTCCTGGGCTTCAGTCATTTATTGTCTCTAATTATCAATTAAAATACGTTTTGGTGTTTTCCACCATCATCAGTGTTTCTAAAATAATAGATAGTTAAAAAAAATGTTCATTAATTCAAAAAACAATCACCGTTCGTCAACAGCTTCATCATATCACACACTAAAATACATCACAATTGCAACACTTTAAAAAAACATTCTAAGATTAATTAGGTCCAACAGGTGATTAGTCAGAACTATCAATTCTGGGAAGAGACTAGAATTCTTTGTTCAGGTACTCAAATATTTTAACTTTTTTATTTAGTAAAAATATTTGAGTACCTGAACAAAGAATTCTAGTCTCTTCCCAGAATTGATAGTTCTGACTAATCACCTGTTAGGCCTAATTAATATTAGAATGTTTTAAAGTGTTGCAATTGTGATGTATTTTAGTGTGTGATATGATGAAGCTGTTGACGAACTGTGATTCTATGTTTTTTAAATTAATGAAAACATTTTTTTTAACTATCTGTTATTTTAGAAAAACTGATGATGGTGGAAAACACCGAAACGTATTTTAATTGATAATTAGAGACAATAAATGACTGAAGCCCAGGAATTGATTTTGATTTGGAATAAATTTAAGGACCCAGTTTCAAAACTCCCTTGTTGGTGCTTTAGGGCTCGAGATAAAAATGAGCTTCTTTGTGGGACTTTTTGAGTAAACGGCACTCGGCAGTTTTATTTCTAGCATTTGCGACAGAAAGAAGCAAGTTTTTGCAACTAATCTTCCCTATAGAAATGGAACATTGTTTCCAGTGTTCACAGTTCATTCATAACGGACCAGACTGCAATGAGAAATTGTATCGGATGGTGTGGAGCCGCTCCACCAAGTTTATCTAGCTCAAATAAAGTCGGTTATTAATTTGGTTGTCGTCTACTCTTGGCTTTAGTTAATTTCTTAAAAATGACCTGCCGAGTTGCAATCGGGAAAAATCAAGGCGTAGAGATCCATGAAATGTTCAAATAATGAGCAACAATGCAACGTAAAATCCCTGCAGATAAAGCGCAGTAATCTAAACGATCCGATTCGCAACAAATTTCAGAAATGAGGGCATCTGAAAATCCTTTCACAACATTTGTCTTTCTGAGAAAACGAAAAGCTATCGCTGAAACGGAAAATGCTTTCCATGTAGCTCTTTAAGAGATAAAAAGTTAAAAGTGTTGCTGTCAACATATACAGCAAACGTGTCGTTTAGCTGGGAGCAAATGTAATGAAACTAGATTTAATTAAATCTTTCAGACTTCGGCAATGTAAAATAAACATTTTTATATTTTGACTGAACCTAGAGTGTTCGGTGTTCCGTTCTAATAACACATAGAAAAATTTGAATTTCTGGGCTTCTTGAAATCAAAACTCTAAAAGGGCAGGGAACCGTCCTGTGCCAAAGCAAGCGTGGATTTTCATGAAATTAAAGGCAGCGACACAACTTGGTGGAACTTGAGAGATTTATTGGCTGCGTCTGAAGCATCGGGTTGTATTAAGCACTCTCAGGCTAGAAAAATAAAAAGTACCCTTACTGCGTTTAAGGCTGGGAAAATATGTCGCTGTCGCCGGCATTTAACTTAATTAGCTTGCATTTATAAAGCCACTCAATTTTTGCTTACACGGGATTGGGGATGAAGCCAACTATTAATTTTATACAGCGTTAATCAATTAAAACCATCCAAATGCCATGCCATAAATCATTTAAAGTGGCTTTAGAGTTCCGCATTATAGTCTTAAACACTCCACATATGCATATTATGTACCTCCTTAGGTCGAACGCTAAGCAATGGGCTCAAAAATCACACATTTTCAAAACGCAATTTCTAAAAGTTGATTTGATTTGCAGAATTACGCTTTTTCTAAATCAAGCAAAAAAAATGGAAGCATAAATTAATTTTCGGTGTCAACAGGAACTTTGGTAACGTGACTATAAAATCCAATGGAAAATTTTGCTAAAAAAATTGGATTATAGTTAGAAAGAAAAAACGAAAAAAGGAAATGCGTTTTAAAAGTAAAATTGTATTTTCTAGCGTTTTGAAAAGAAATTTAGGGACTTACTGCTTTTTGGAAAAAAAATGCTGAAATATTGTGTTTTTTTATTTCTAAGAAAACCTACTCTAGACTTCATAGGTTAGAAAAAAACACTTCACTACACTTTCACTCCGCAATCTTCTTCATTGCAGTCACATTCGATCTCTTCATCGGAAATATTCCCTTCTTCATCGACTGGATTTGTCGAACTGCTTTTTCATTCTCTAACAAGTTTTTGTAGAAATGTAGAATATGTAGAATATTAATAAACTTTCAATATTTTCTAATTTTAAATCCTTTATTTTATGGGTTAACGGTAACTTCATTCATTTTTACATTCCCCATTTGCACTCCATTTTTCATAATAGTCGTAAACATTTTTAAGATGTTTTCATTTTTCATTCTTCCATTTTTACTTTTATTGTATTTTTTGTTTTGCAATTTTTTTCTCTTTTAATAAAAACTCTTTTCGTTTGACTAATTCCCATAAGCTTTTTGCAATTAATGTCTTTCCTTATGCTTTCTTACTGTTCCAATCGCTTCCAACAACTTTTCGTAATCTTCTTTTTGTAAAACCTGATTTTGTTTTCCTCACTTGTGAACCTCGCTTTTAGATTAACTAATTTACCTCACTTCCTTGCGTCTTTCCCTTCTATTTTTCGTGCCCTTTTTCTTCTTCCTTGTTCCTTGATTCTTCTCAGACACAACAGCAGTGTCTATGTAATTCTCCATTGTCTCCATTTTCAAACACTCTTTCGCAGCACACCGTACGTAACATTGAAAACACGAAGTCTTTGCAGAAATTGCGATTTGAAACGAAAAATGTAGAAATAGCGGTTTGACGAAAAATATTATTGCAGATATTGCGTTTTGGAAAAAAAACACTAAAATTGGTGTGCGTTTTACATGGCAGAAATAGTTATTTGACTAGAAATTCAAGTGGCAATCGAAATCTCTCACTCAGTAGCGAAATTTTTTGCAGAAATTGCGTTTTGAAAAAAAAAACACTAAAATTGGTATGCGTTTTACATGGCAGAAATAGCTATTTGACTAGAAATTCAAGTGGCAATCGAAATCTCTTACTCAGTAGCGAAATTTTTTGCAGAAATTGCGTTTTGAAAAAAAAAACACTAAAATTGGTGTGCGTTTTACATGGCAGAAATAGCTATTTGACTAGAAATTCAAGTGG